TTAGCTGCTATAAACGAACTAAATTTTGCAACACTGGTTCACTGTATGGACAGTGATTTCATTAATCAGACTGTCACATGACCTATGTGACTTATCTCCACTAAAAGGAGTGTCTTCTGTATCTCTACGTCACTATTTGTTTAGTGTTATGTTTAACACCATGCAAGTTGTTATTGGCCCAACAATGCCAGTAGTGGAAAATATTAAGATTTAGTCAAACCAGTACTGGTCTTTATAATTGGAAATTGTTTATAAAAAATATATATTGGAAGTAATTGTTCTTGTAGACATGTCTTAATAAAATAGATAGACTTTTTATGTCTGTTACATTTATTGATCTATTTTTTCTGAAAGGTGATTAAGTTTTTGCAAATATGGTTGTTGCAGACATAAAAAAAAATTTTTTGCAAAATATAACAGACACATGAAAAATGCTCAAATATATATAGACTGGTGCTGTCCAGTTCACACTGGAACCCTCAATCGAGTTTTTTAAGTCGATTATGCAGCTTTGTTGATGATGAATTATTCTCATTAAACCCAGCAACAATTTTATCCTCCACAGATAATACATTGCTTCCTTTATCACTAAGGAAACTCTATAGATATTATGTTGACAGATGTGCAGAGGAGTTACATTCTTTCATTCCATCAGCTCAAACCTTCATAGTGAATTTTCCCCTATTTATCTGCATTCCTTTTGCAAATGAGCAAGTTCCACTGAAACAGCTTCATTCTCCAGAAGTGCTATTTTTGGAAGAAAAAGGAGTGGATGTATGGCAACAACTACAATCTTGGTCTCTATTAGTCCAGGGTCAACCAATTTTTTTTCCTCTTTGTCCAAAATGATTCAATTTTTTTTTTTATCCTTCCTTTTATAAAAATAGTGATCAGTAAATTTACCAAAGTGGTTCTTGATCACTTTGTATTGGGTGAACTAGAGGAAAAACAATGTTTTGCCATCCTCTTTTAAAAACAGTTTCACCAGTGACCCTCTACGACATGGCATTACATTAATTTTCAAATATCTAGTCAAATGTTTTGTAGCAAAGACCCACTTCTTTTACTAAGGATAGTAGGTCATCTGCATCAATGTTTTTCAATAAGTGATCACAATAACCAACTTCCAAAATATTATTATATAAAGGACATACAGGAATTTCTTTTCTCTTTTATTTTCATTCAAATTACTTTTATATCAAATGAATAACTTTCCAGTTTTTAATTCCTGCTAATTTTAATAGGCAAGTAATATGTTGCGGGATTCACCTTTTTTGATGCAACGTGTGAACAAGGATGAAAAATACTCTATGGGTATTATATCTTCTATTGCATGCCATGGTCTGTTCAGGATGTGGGAAATCATTCCAACTTGTTTTTTGCCATCCATTTATACAAGCTTGTTAAGTAGGTTGATCGTGAATCTCCTCAACTTCCTATTCTTTTTAGCTCTTAGTAATGTTTAACTTTTCCCCATCTTTCCCACTCCCTGTTCTGACATCCATTTACATAAGCTAGTTAGGTAGGTTAATCATGGCTCTCCACAACTTCCTATCTTTTCTAGATCTTATCAATGTTTGTCTTTTTCAACATCCTTTTTCTAATCCTGCTTTCATTTAATAGGTATTCAGAATGTGGACATACATGGCTCTCCACAACTTCTTAACCTTTGTAGCTCTTAGCAATGTTTATCAATTTACAGCCTTCCCAATACATTTTCTGTCATTTTAATTTAACTTCACCAATGGATTCAATCGTTTTTACAATTACAAGAATGCAACTTGTGTTTTCTATCTGAATTCACCTATTTACTTTTGTTTATAGATACTTTTTTTAATTCCAGAAATCTGCTAGTTTCTGACCTGCTTAGATAAAACCATTTGGGAATTTAGATTTGGCTTCTATTCTACATTAATTTATTGAAAAAAAGTTTGAACAAAGTAACTATGCTTTTTTTTTTTTTTTTATACCTTTGATCCAGCCACAATGATGGGAGAAAAAATTACTTTTGAACCATCGCCAGTGAGATATGCTGCAAGATCCACTCTGTCTTTAAGAGGCTGATCCTTAATTGATTTTCCAATCATGCCAATCCTACAAAGGAATGTCATTGAATGAAAGGCCAATAACCCCATATTTCACACTGTCACAGGAGTAAAAAAGGTCATTAGCAAGAGAAGAATATTTAACTGACATTTTTATCCTGCATCCCTGGGCTGATGGACCCCGCTCAACCACGGACTTTTGATGTAAAATCAAAGGGCTCCAAAATGTTTATCTGTACAGGTCGCATCAGAAATCCTCATGTACCCCATTTTAAAAGAGAAAATGGTAATATTTTGTTTGGCTTTTTCCATCACCACAAAGAGGCCTGGGTTTGCAGGGAAGGAAACTAGGCTGCATCCAAACCTCTATTGATGATGTCATTTATTGCTGCATGCCGTGTCATCTTACATATTTTCTGTCATCTCTTTACACCATTGTGCGAAAGAATGGATGAACATCTACATTTATATCATTCTAAGTAGGTTATATTTCTGAGATGTGCTATTGTAACTATTTATGCTGTTTACATCGTTTGGACCGTTATCCTCATTTTTATTGTCATATTCACAACATTTCGGCCATTGTAGGCTCTGATCTTCTTCAGGTGATATACATTGGAATTTAAGATAAGACTGCAAGGACACTGTAAAGTCAGGGGAAATAGAAAAATCAAGCATGGCTGATCATATATCAAGGGAAAAGAGAGATCACGGCCCATTGTGGGATGTAATTGAAATAACAGATAACATTACTGGAAAATATGAAAACTTAAGGAATCAGCACATATGCTAGGCCACAAAAATCTCCTAAGCTGGCCGCATATAGACATGAATACAATATGGGAACCAGTAACACAGAGTAATAAAGAAAAACAACAAAAACAGAAATTGTAATACGAGCTCTGTTAAAAATTGAAAACTGAGACATTATGTTTATAAGTCCCAAAAATTCACTCCTTGAGTGGATAACAGTGTTGGTTGAGTAATCCAAAAAGTGACTTAACCCTAAGAGTTGTGAGTTCAATACCTGGCCACAACAGAGGGAAACAAAAAACTTGGAAAGTTGACTTACTAAAGGGAGATAACTGAAACTGAGATATCCAGATAAGGCATGGCACGTGGAATTAGAAAAAATCTACCCTGGTAGCTGAAATAATGGGTTTGGTTCAAAATTCCAACATATATCACTTGAAGAAGGCTGGATGAATGGCCAAAACATTGGGAACATGACAATAAAGAAGAGGAAAACAGTCTGAACAATGTAATTAGTGTAAATAGTTACAATACTTCATCTCAGAAATATACAGATCCTGAAGAAGGCTGGAGCATACAACTGCCAAAATATCTAGAATATAGCAATGAAGATGAGGACAACAATTCAAATTGTGTAAATCGTTACAATACCTCATCTCAGAAATATAGACAAATCCTGAAGAAGGCTGGAGCATACAATGGTTGAAACATCAAGAATATAACAATAAAAATGAGGACAACAGTCTGAACACTGTAAATAGCGTAAATAGTAACAATACCTCATCTCAGAAATATAGGCAGATCCTGAAGAAGGCCAGAGCATACAAAGGCTGAAACGTCGAGAATATAGCAATGAAGATGAGGACAACTTTCCAAATGTTTGCATGTGGTGCAGTAAGCACAAGGAGTTATGCCCTTTTTCAGAACAAAGGACATTCTACTTAGTGTAGGTGGCGCTGATAAACTTTGCATATGAATGATACTGGGCAGGTATTAGTCAATAGTCAGCATAGGTCACTGGAATCATCATTTCGCAATATGTCCTAATTGATTGTGTGCTGTGGCATGTTAAAGATCTCTGTCTGGCATGGGACCAATGTTCTGCTGCAAGCAACGCTGATGACTCATCCACAAGTGATAGAAAGTTACAAGTAGATTCTTCGGATGTTTGACATGCCTCCTGCCACAGTGGAAACAGATGGAATTAACAATGAGAATGAAGTATCTCCCCTGCATGGTGACAATACTAAGATTACTCTCTCTCTACCAAAAGGGAACGTGGTAAGAGGCAAGGGTGAGGTTGAACAGAAAAAAAGAAGAATTCTTGCTTACTTTTTTGTTATGACAGACAAAAAAAAAAATGTTCCAGATTTTTACAGATGGGAAAATTTCTCTCTACAAAACTCAAAAATTTACCAAAATTGACCTGTTAAAGAAAGTTAATTTTAGACGTGTGCGTATTTGGACAGTAAAAAAAATATTACAAAGTATAAGTAATTACTAATTTCTAATACTTTGATACTTTTTTAACTGTTCTTTACACACATACATTCTCAGTATTAGAAAGGAATGTCTAACTAAAGTACTAAACTTTAGACATTTCTTTCTGGGGGGAAAGGAATAATTTTATTGTACATGGTGGTCCAAAAACCTTCTTACCCCTAGATAATATAATTTTCTATTTCAACACTCCGTGGGGTATTATCAAGGAGAGAGTTTCACATGAATGATAGCAGAATACCCATCAGATGAAGGATGCCTTTGCAACAATCAACAAAGTACAGCTTTGTAAAATATCACACAGGACATGGTGCTGCATCATTTTGTGCCATAAAAATGATGGTGTTCATACAGACTGGCATCAATGATGGTGAATAAACCAAATCCAGTACATGTGCTTTTGTATTATTGTATTACTTATTTGATTGTTTCTCATTACTTTTTGGTAGCGGGTGACAAGACTTTCGGACCACCTTGTACATTGGTGTCTATACAAGAAGTATGAAGATGAGAAAATGTTACCGCTACAAGCCAGAGAATTTGATTGAAAATAATAATAATAATAAAATAATAACATGAATAAACATCTACAGGGTGGTCCGAAAGTCTTGTCACCCCATATACAATATAATTTTCTATTTCAGATGGCTGACACGAAAATGATGCTGTTCATATAAACCTTCTCGATGTGTGACAGCGTCAATGAAAGTAAATAAACTGAATCCAGTACATGTGCTTTTGTATTAATGCATTGTTGTATTGTTCCCATTACTTGGGGGGGGGTGACAAAACTTGCGACCAGCTTGTAGAGAGTTAGAAGTTTAGATACTCTCTAAAAGAGTGCTAATCTACAAAAAAATTATTCCCTTCTCCCACTCAAAAAAAAGAAAAAAATTTGTCTATTTTTTTTTTATGAGTAGGTAGACATGTCTATTTAAGTAGTGCCAAAATATTTATTTAAATATTTTTAACCAGTATGCTTCTTGGGGGTCATGCCTTGTGTGTTCGTCTGCAGACCCCAATGAAGTTCCTCTGCAGTTCAGTCTCATTTTCCTGTTGCCCGTCGTAACGCTTTTTTGTTGTAGTTTTTGGGACTTCGTTACTTTTTTATTTTCATCTCCTATGCTAAAATTTCCCGCTAATGTCAACTCATCTGTTTTTTTTTTTAGCTCCAAACAACAGCAAAAAAGTTTATATTCCGGTAAGATACTATTTTTTAAAAATACAAACTGAAAGAAAAAATTCTTCAAAAAGTTTTTTTAATAAGAAAAAAAAAGTCGTTCCCGGTAAAAAAAGAAAAACAATTAAAAAAAATAAAATTATATATTTACCAAGATATAATTATTTACTATTTTGTCTTTTGTTAAATTATATATAATCATAATTAGTAACTTAAAAAAGTCTTAGTTCAAATGTTTTTTTTATCATTTATTTATTTTTTACATTCCGTAGTTTTGGACTATGGAAGACTTTAGCTGATATAATAAAATTCTCCTTTTTTAAATATTATTTTATAATCCTGTATACTTTTGTAAATTTAAAAAAAAGTAATAAAAACTATCGATTTATACCTAAAATATTGCTAAAAAAAATAAAGCAGTATTCTTTTTTTTATTGATTGTTTATTTTTTTTATTTACAAACATTTTTTTGTTTTCGCCTTTATTTTTTCCATATATTTTCTTGTAAACTCTTAAAAAATTCTTATTGTAAACTTTCTTTAAAGTTTATTTTAGTTGTAAATTGGATTGACCTAAAAACTAACCAACAAAAATAATGAAATCTGTGAAACCCTAAAACACTAGTGATGAAGAGAAAATAATATTTTCTAATTAGGCATTAAAAATAATAAAAAAAAAGAATGAATTAAATTAATTTTTTTTTCATAAAAGAAAAAGAAAAACATTTGAAATCTACTGTTTTAACTCCTAATTTTGCTTACGTTGCAAAGAATCATTTTAAGATTATATAAAATTATTTATACATACATACCTTACGTCCGATTTCTTGGATCCTTTCTACAACAGAAGTGTGAAGGAGACGATATTTTTTAATGTTCATAAAGGCCTGCATTTATTTTTATTTTGTTATACACTTGTGTATTTCCAAAACGGCCATTTTTATTCGTGCAAGAAAGCGCATGCGTATTTTGATATTTTAAAGAAAGTTTTGAACTTGCTGTGTCCCTTCATGACGTCGGCGATCTTTGTTCTCCACGACGTCCTATCGTTTCTAGCACTTAGCAATGTTTCTCTTTTCACCATCTTTCCCACTCCCTTTTCTGCCATCCCTTTTTACACAAGCTTGTTAGGTAGGTTGATCATGGCTCTCCACAGCTTCCTATCCTTTTTAGCTCTTAATGTTTTTACTAGGATGAATATTGCTGCCATATATGGTCTGATGCTCCTGCTATATATTTATAAATTCTTGATAAAATCTAAAGAAGAATCAGCAATATTATTGGTTCTGATTGTAACAGAGAATCGAGTCAGTTCAATAAAAGACTCCGGGTTGGTTGTATGTGGTGCTATAAACACCAGCAGTTGTGTCCCCTTCCACAATGGGCTGTTGAGAGAAGACCTTCTACTTAGAGTAGGTGGCACTGCCTATTTTCATGTGAACAATACTGGGCAGGTATTAGCCAATAGTCAGCGTAGGTCAGGGACTGGGAAAGGTTTATAACACCGGTGTTTTTCTCAGTCGAGAGAAGCGCTCTCGACGTGCAGATATGTGAAAACCAGACAAGATGAACACACTGATCTGGCGTTTTGGCTTCAGTCACTATCCCATCACCGTAAAGTTGTTTTGGATGAGCTTTTTACTATGGTACCAAGACTTTATGAATTTAATCGCAGTACTAGATCAGCAAAAATGTCTCATCCATTTAAAGTTGAATTGACTAGATGTAACTAAGTCTTATGTGATCAGTTTCTTTTCTTGCACTTCTCGCTGCTTGATTTCCAGTCAAGTTTGATTTTCAAAAATTTAAATATAATGTCAATCGTTATCTCCTGTTTTCCTGATTACACTTCTAGTGTTCTATCTCAATTTTTGCTTGTGGAACTTTCTTCTGGCTTCTTGCTTTCCAGTCAACTTTGATCTTCAAAAATCTAAATGCAATGTCAATCATTATCTACTGTTTTCTTTGATTCTTTTATTCACACTCCTTAATAATGCTTCTGTTTTTTAATTCTTTCACATCCAGTAGGGAAGGATGAGCTGGCCCAGAAAGCACTTATCTCAGTTTGAGATAACATTTAAATTTTGACTGGAGTGTTCTGGGCTAGATACACTTAACCTCACTGGTCAAGATTGATGAAAAACATCTGTTTCATTCAGGCTTAAGACAAGACGTTGATTTGGATAATAATTTTTCACTTGAAGATAATGATTAGACGAAGCATTGCATGTGGTCTGAAAGAAAAAAGAATTAAATATTTTTTATCTTTTTCTGGAGATTTGATTCCTTCATAAAATAAATCCATACAGCCATTTCTTGATGCTTTTGGCACTGTCCAGCAGAAACAGGATGGTGATAATTTTTTTTTTTTTCAAGGGGTGATCTTTTCCCTAAATTGAATTGACCTAAAATTTAAAGTAGTTGAAATGGTTAGCTTTTAGTTACGGTTCAGACCACTCCTTGTTACGGTCCCTAGAAAAGGAATGGTCAACTGAATCAGGTGACATCCCAAAGAAAGTAGTAACAGGTTGTTTCTAAGGAAGTTGGGAGGAAGGAGAGAAGGTAGCAGCTAAGAGTGGAAGTCAGAGATGCCAGAGAAGGCAATGTGGAGTTTGATAGTGATTTTCCAAGCGTAGCTCAGATGTGGCACAAGGCCAAAAGTATGGAGCACCCAGTGAGGATCGAACTCACTACTCAGTCATAACTGTTCTAGCAAGACAAGCTCGCTAACCATTACACCACCACAAGGTGCCCAGTGATTTTTCCAAGCATGGCTTAGATGTGGCACAAGGCCGAAAGTAGTGGGCACGCAGTGAGGATCGAACTCACTACTCAGTTGTAATTGTTCTAGCGAGATAAGCTTGCTAACCATTACACCACCTCGAGGTGCCCTAATTTGGAGTTTGATAGGTGGATTAACCAACCTTCTCACTGCCACTAAGGGGCTTGATAATTGTCCCAAATTGGAAAATCTTACTTGAGACAAAGTCGGAGCCCCACCCAGGTGAAGTATTATAAAAACTGGGCATTTTGAGGCTTTCAGAGAGAACAGGGTCACAGGTTGAGCAGATTAGAACTGCAGGTTGGGCAGAACAGATCAGCAGACTCCAGAGTAGTTCAGCAAAGTCCACAGAAGTACTCCAAGAAAGAATTATCACTTAGATTTGAATAAGAATGTGCCTAAGAACTGACTAGGTTACATCCTTAACCCATGACCGTGTACCAACCAAAAACCAACAATTAGATGCCCAGAGTGAGCAACTAAGAACCGAAGTCTTAAGGTATAATCGTCCATCACTCTTGCATTTTTTTTTTTTTTTTTTTTTTTTTTTTTTAAGCTTGTATTTTTTTCTGATATTAGCTTGTATAAACGATCTGTTAAAGTTGAAGAGAGTTGTCATCTCCCTTATTATATACCGTCAGAGCCGTTGTTAGCCATGGTATACCAACTCCTGCTCTGGTTGTTTTGAGCCCAGTCACAACATGGGTATTCAACCAGACTTTTTGGCAATTGTAGAAGTCAGTGCAACCAATCTGATATTGACTGGCATTATTGGATATTCAGTGAGCTCCTTAGCTCATCGGCTGATCAGATAAGCGTTATAGATTGTCTTTTCACTATCCTTCCCATGCCTTGTTCTGCTGTCCCTTTACACTAGCTTAAGTTGGTTAATCATTGATTCCCTCTGCCTCCTCTCACCTTCAGTATGTCCTGTGAGTGTCAGATTTTCCAAGCCATCTTTCCTCATTATTTACCACAGGAGTTTCATCTATCTTTCTGATTCTAAGTATGTATCCTTTTTGTTTCCATCTTCCTTAAAACTTCCTTGTTGCTCACATGCTCTGTCTGTGGTATTCTTAGTGTCCTTCTTTCTGTTGCTTCAAGTCTCCTCTTCACAGGGCTGGATTAAGACCTGTAGGGGGACTAAGCACGTAAAAGATTTTGGTGCCCCCATGCATCTTCGAATTAAGTATTTTGGCAGGGAGTTTCAGTGAGTAGTGTAAAAGAAGGACATCAGCTGGGAATATACATCATGGAATCGCCAGCTGGAAATAAATACAGGAAGAACTGAAGACATATACCGCCATCAAGAGAGGCTGATTATCAGTTCCAACCCAGAACACCAATGCTCTGGGAACCCAGCCAGAAAGAACCAATTGTAGCTGAGCGGCAAATGACGGCAAAATCTGCAAAAAATATTCATAATAGTTCTCTAAAGGATGAAAATGGCCAAGATGAACAGAAAGAACATAGCAGGTCTAGATGAAATTTTAATCTGTCAGCCTTGGACGATACTGGGATTGAGAAGATGACAAAAATAATAAATGAAATGTACAACAGCAGGGAGCATAGTGAAGAAAATAAAAGGCCAAGATTAGCATGCATGTGTTGTAACAGGCAGGGTCGGTGTGTACCACTCCTGACCCACCCCACCTGGGGGTAGGGGGCAAGCCTGATTGGGGCCCCCAGGCAGTATTTTGTGACCCTCACTATCTTATTTGCTTTTTTTCTATCAACAGTTATATACATTACAAATTAAACTGTGCACGACTATTAAAGGATGAAAATGGCCAAGATGTGCAGAAAGAACGCAGCAGGTTTAGGTGAAATTGTAATCTCTCAACCTTAGACAATTTGGAGATTGTAGTGAAAGAGATAATCATTTACTTCGAAAAAACAGTTTGTGTTCTGTGTGTGATCTGCTGAAGAAAAATTACAAAAAGTAGTTAGCAAAAATCTACTTCAATGACAAGAATCTATGCTAATGTTCTCCCCTCCCCTGAATGGCGTGACCAATCAGAAAAATCTCTTAATGAACCAAAGCTGTTGTTTTTCACTTATAAAGGCAGAAGATTTTCTGAGCTGGTGAGCTGAAGACGCATTTTTGCTCATGAGACGTGAAGGTTGGACGTGTGACCCCATTTGTTGTTTCTACTTTGCTTGTTGGACTGTTAACGACAGACTATCATTTGAACTGCGATTTGGCTACAAGTGTTGCAGTCGAGAAGCAGAAGAAATCT